AAGACAGCACAATAAAATATGCAACCTTAACCTACATAAGTCTCATTTATTGGCATCTGATTTCCACAGTGGTAGTTCAGACTTCAGTCTCTATCTTAGGAGTCTGAACCTGAGGTATAAATTCATGTCAAATTGCTACATCAAAAGCAGTGTTCTTCATCATATAATATATATAATCAACATATGACAAACAAATTATAGTCATTCAGATTGATCTGCTCTGTCAGTTTCACTCTAAGCACTGGAGTCTCTCTCCCTGCCACCCCACACTCCAAGGCTGAATCTGCTTTTCCAATGTAAGCTCATGCCTTTTTTACACGTAAATATAATCATGTTTAACATGTAAATATAATCATGTTTTTCAATGTCAACATTTAGTTGAAGCTCAATTGTAGCTGAAAGGAAAAGATAATCCCCTTACTCAAGTGTTATAAAGGATATTATAGCTTTGGAAAAAGTGCAGAAAAGGGCAACTCGAATGATAAAAGGGTTGGAACACTTTCCCTATGAGGAAAGGTTAAGGCGCTTAGGGCTCTTTAGCTTGGAGAAATGACGACTGAGGGGTGACATGATTGAGGTTTATAAGATTATGCATGGGAAAGAGCAGGTAGATAAAGAGGTACTTTTCTCCCTTTCGCACAATACAAGAACTCGTGGGCACTCCATGAAATTGCTGAGCGGTCGAGTTAGAACGGATAAAAGGAAGTACTTCTTCACCCAAAGAGTGATTAACACATGGAATTCACTGCCACAGAAAGTGGTGGCGGCTACAAGCATGGACGGCTTCAAAAGGGAATTAGATAAGCATATGGAGCAGAGGTCCATCAGTGGCTATTAGCCACAAGGTATAGATAGGGACTCTGGGGCAAGTGATGCTCTGTCATCTTGGTGCTTGGGGGGGACAACAGTGGGAGGGCTTCTGATGTCCTGGCCCCACTGGTGGACCTCCTGATGGCACTGGTATTTCTGGCCACTGTGTGATACAGTGTTGGACTGGATGGGCCTTTGGCCTGATCCAACATTGGCATCTCTTATGTTCTTATAACAGAAAGCACCCCAGTGTCCATGGAGGCACTGGGACTCTCTCAGTTTATATTGACTCCCACGCATCAAGCAGGCCACATGCTGGATCTGATTTTTGGGATGGCGATAAATGTTGATCAGATGGCTACAGATGTAGTCCCATGGTCTGACCACTTCACCCTGAAGGTCCGGCTGAGCATACCATGCCCTGCTTGTTTAGGCAGTGAGTGCATTTATGCTCGCCTGCAGAGCCAAATGGACCCTGGTTGGCTTCAAGAAGCTCTGCAGGATCCGATGCCCCCTGGCAGCTCATTAGATGAGCTGGTGGAGGACTGGGAACACCCGCTCTACGAAGCCATAGATGAGATTGCCCCTCGGCGCTCTCTACACCCTCGTATCAAAGCAGCACCATGGTATACCTTGGAACGGCGGAGGATGAAGTGGAAGCTAAGACGCTAGAACAAAGGCGGTGGCATGCTCACGACGAAGTGTAGGAACATCCTATAGGATGCTTATGAAAGCCTATGAGATGGCGGTGCAGACCACGAAGAAAGATTTCTACACGACCACCACTGAGTCTGCGAGCTTGTGCCCAGCCCAATTATTTAGAATTATTCGGTTTCTTACAACTCTGCCACATGGCAGTCCAAACAGTAGAGAATTGGCTACTGGCTGTGAGGCATTTGCGAGCTATTTAGCAGAGAAAATCATGACACTCTGCCATGACCTCCCGAGCACACTTGAGACAGTAAGGGAACTGGAAGCCCCTTGTCCGTCTTCAGGTCCAATATTGGACCACTTCAGCTGACCCTTCCCAGGAGGAAGTTGACAGGATCTTGGCAGCTGTGAGACCCACTACCTGCCTCCTTGATCCTTGCCCTTTGTGGCTAGTGAAGGCTTGCAGGGAGAGCACTTGGGTCCCTCTGGGAGAAATTATCAACTTGTTCCTGGCTACTGGGACTTTCCCAGGGACTCTAAAGGAGGTGGTAGTCTGTCTGCTCTTTAAAAAACCAATACTGGACACTATGGTCCTAGCCAACTACCACCCTATGTCGAATCTACCATTCCTTGGTGAAGTGGTTGAGAGAGCGGTGGCCGAACAACTCCAAGCTTTCCTGGATGATGCTTCCATCGATCCTTTCCAGTCTGGCTTCCACCCTGGCCATGGGACAGAGATGGCTCTGGTCGCCTTACGGATGACCTCCGTAAACATCTGGATCGGGGCGGCACTGCTATTACTTGATCTGACAGTAGCGTTCAACACAGTCAATTATAATTGACCCACCGCCTTGCCAATGTAGGAGTTCAGTAGACTGCCCTGCAATGGTTTTCTTCCTTTCTCCATGGTTGGGGACAGAGGGTGGCGCTGGGCGAGAGGACTTCCCCAGGATACCCAATGGAATGTGGAGTGCTGCAGGACGCAACCCTCTCGCCAAATCTATTTAACATCTATATGTGCCCCCTTGCCCAGTTGGTCCAGAGGTATGGGCTGGGATGCCATCAATACGCAAATAACACCAAGCTCTATCTGCCATTGGAAGGCCATCCATTCTCAGCCCGATAACTTGGTTGAGGCTTTGGAGACTGTGGCTGGATGGTTGTGGCAGAGTCGATTGAAGCTAAATCCATCGAAGATGGAGGTCCTGTACCTAAGTCGGAAGGGAGCGGATATGGCTATCAGGCTCCCCAAACTGGAAGGGGCACCTTTGGTGCCAGCCCAGAAGGTGAGGAGTCTGGGAGTGACACTGGATGCCTCTCTCTCTATGGAGGCCCAGGTTACTGTAGCTGCCTGATCTGCCTTTTTCCATCTTCGGCAGACTAGGTTGCTGAAACCCCAAGACTTGGCTACAGTGACCGACACAATGGTCACTTACAGGCTTGACTACTGTAATTCGCTCCACGCAGGCTTACCTTTGAGGCTAAACCGAAAATTACTGCTGGTGCAAAATGCAGTGGCGCACCTGTTAACGGTGACACCTATGTGGGCTCATGTTTGGCAGGTACTCTGTCAATTGCAATGGTTACCGGTAGAGCTCCGGATCCACTTCAAGGTGTTGGTAATAACTTTTAAAGCCTTACACGGCCTGGGACCAATATATCTGAGGGACTGCCTCTTCCCATATATGCCCTGAAGAGCACTACGCCCTATGGATCAACATCTCCTGGTAGTCCCTGGCCCGAAAGACATTCATCTTGCCTCAACCAGGGCCAGGGCCTTTTCTGCCCTGGCCCTTGCCTGGTGGAACATGCTCCCCACTGAGATCAGGGCTCTGCGGGATTTACTTCGATTTTGCAGGGCCTGCAAGATGGAGCTGTTCCACCAGGCCTTTGGCTGAGGCGGCAGACGTCCATATATGGCCTCCCTGAGGTGTTTGTCACTCTGTTAACGACTACTGGCTATGGCCAGCAACCTCCCACAACCAAAAAATTTCTTTGTTATCAGCTGTGGCCACCATTTTAATATTTATGATGATTTTTTAAATTTGAATTTTATTTTATTAACTAATATATGTTGTATAAATGAAGTGTTGTTACCCGCCCTGAGCCTGCCTCTGGGAAGGGCAGGCTATAAATGTGAATGAATGAATGAATGAATGAATGAATGAATGAATGAATGAATGAATGAAGGGCTCAAATACACAGCTGCATTAGATCATTTTAAACATTCACCTAAAGTGATATTTGTGCATAAAAGAACTGAAAGTCAGTTGAATCGCAAATTTGGCTAAGTTAAGTACCCTGGTAGCAATGTTTCTAAGATCAGATTGCATGTTTTAGAACAGAGGTCCCCAACATGGCTCCTGCTGACACCTTTCTTGGCACCCACCAAGTGTTTTTAGAAAGTGGGTGGGGCTTCTCAGCAGGGCTTCTCACTGGCCACTGGAGATCCAATCAGCTGTGCAGATCTTTAAATATGTTGCACTGGAAGCAGCTGCCAACGGAGTACAAGAATCTTCACAGTCTAACTTCAGGTAAACTATGTGTATTGAAGAAAATATTTCAAAGCAGTATGTTCATTTTAAAAGGCATTCTATTAAACAGATCTTCTGCCTGAAATGTTGAAGAGTTAACTATTGCAGTTATATATAACTTAGCTGGCTGACATTTTGAGGTTGGTGCTGGCTCCGGCAGCAGCCATTTTGTGGTTGACACCCACCCCGTGTCAAAATTCCAAATGTGTTCACTGATTCAAAAAGGTTGGGTACCCTTGTTCTAGAGCTATGGTTAAGGAACAATCTTAGTTAGTTTTGATCAGAACTAGGCCGCTGAAAGACTGGGATTCTGAGGTGTTTAGAATTAATTATAAGATACTCTTATATATACGACACTGATATAAGGAAACCCCGGACATTTAAAGACATAATCATCCTGTACAGATGAAGAAGTGGATATAAAGCAAAAGGCAAGCTCTGGGACTCACATCCATTCATTCAGTAGATTCTCTCTCTCTCTCTCATTGAGGAAACCTCATTGCATCTCTCAACCTACTCTGAATATCATCAGTTTCCATGTGGCATGGGGAACTGTTGTATGAGCAACCCAAGTCCAAAGCTCCCTTGAGTATGCCGAACTGGTTGCACAGTCCCTTAGATCCCTCAGTAGAAGCAGAGGCATTCAACAGAAGCTGCACAATGTTCACATTGACATTAGAGAGCTGTCTACTTTGGAGAAATATAATAAGGCAATCCTAACTTTTAAAAAGCATGGTGTCACAGTCCACAAATGCTTTGAAGATCACTTTGATAGTTTTCCCTTCCCTAAGGAGCTCATTACTTACAGTTTAGTAAAGACAGCACTGACAGGAACAGATCCCCTACAGTTCTTTTCTATGTAAATCAGCACACTACAACACTATTTTAGAGTTTAACCAATGATACTTGCCAGCATATGAAGCATCAAGCCATTAAATTTACTGTAGCATAAGTACTGCTGAAGTAATTTTATGCAAGTTAATACTAAGATAATTTACTACTCACCGAGTCCTAAAAGATCAACAGTAGAGTCTGGAATTTTCTTGGGACTTGCCTTAAGCTCCAGTTGCTGATCGTCTTTCTTCTCAGGCTTTATTTTAAAACAAAAATAAACATGCAGTTTTAACTAAAAAAATTCCCATTAACATCCTAGAGAATCAAAAAATTAAGCACCACAAAAAAGTGACTTTGCTCAGCCTCAGTTTTTAGTTGAAAGAGTCATCAGATTATCTTAATGTTAACAGTGCATATAGGAGGGAATGGAGGAGGCAGAGAGATGATAAAATGCGCTGCTTGTACCCATGTTGGAGCAAGTGTTTAAAAACATTTACATAACACATAATTGCTGAATTACTTCACAAAGATTACCATAATTGTAATGTTCAATGTAAATAAAAGCAATTGTCACTTTAAATAAATGCTTATGGATTATAAACTGGCAGAGACTGAAAGAGAAAGATTTTGGGGTTGTCATGGATAGCTCAATGAAATGTCAACTCAGCATGTGCAGTAGTGGGGATTATAAGAAAAGGTACTAAAATGAGATGGCCAATTCTGTAATGCCTTTGCATATATCTGAGTATGGCCTTATTTGGAATACTGTGTAAAGTTTGAGTCTCCATATCTCAAAAGGAGTATTGCAGAGCAGGAAAAAGTGCAGAACTGGTTAATCAAGATTATTCCTTCCTGTGTCAGCATTAACTTAAAGTTATGACTTTTTGTTCCAATGTGCATCACCTTCCATGCACTAAAAATAACTATTATGATAACTATGGTGAAGCACATTCAACAATGAGAGATGTGCTATATAAATGTGAAGTAGTTTTTAAACACTTGCCCCTACCCTGGTACACAGCTTAAACTGCCCCTCAGTTTCATAACCAGACAACAATTGCCAGAATGCTAAGGGGAAGAAGCAGCTTGATCAGACTCAGAGGAAATAACTGCAAAAAAAACACAGAGCAAAGTTTCCTTTGCAAGAATGCTAATCCTAGGAGAAAACAATCCTGACTTGGATCATCTCAGATTCCAGCCACAAACAATGGTCAGTGTTTGTGACAAGAAACGCAAGTAGAGATTTTAAGACAATCCCTAGCACATCAACAGAAAGCATATTAGTTTTCACCTTGAGTTAATTATAAGCTCATCTCCTGAGTCCCAACACATCTGTAAGCAAACATGCAATCATCTTTTGAGTTAATAAGGATATCAACACAATCTCAAGTCACAGTTAGCTTTGTCCAAAATAAATATTAACCAAGGGAATAAGTTTGTCATGAAACTAGCAAATAAAATAATTGAATTTGACACCAAGAATGATCACAGGATCATCTTTCCTGTGAGGAAAAAGCTATACATCCTGGTGCTTTTCAATTTAGAAAAATAGAAGACCAAAATACAAATCCAAAGGGCACTTGCAATCAGCAACCATGGGTTTGTAATCAGTCAGCATTATATCTGTAGTAGGTCTTAGTAGAGAAATAAAACAGGACAGAAATTGCCAAATACTAACACCTATCTATGCATATGTGTGCACATACATGTGTGATTAGAAGGCCATCAAAAAATGTAAAAAATTTCCCACGTGGAAGATTCTTCTGTGTAGATAACTACTATAACTTGACATGTAGTTCAGCACAAAACTATTGCTCTAAGGATCAGTAATTGTGTACATGTTCTAATCTCTCTATCCAGAACCAATAGGGCAAAATTTATCTTTTTAGCTAGCAACAGTTTTCATTCACAGGACACATACATACATTATGGCAAATTCAGAATTCACCAAATTTAATGCTTTAAAAATTTTTTTTGGCTTTTTTTAAAAAATGAGGGGTTGGCTTCCAGATGTTGTGGTACAGTGCAGAAACAATGGGAAGTTGTGAAAAATAATTCACAGTGCATGTGGACACTGTTGGAGAAAGTGTGCAAACTCATTCACCAGTAGACAGGAATGACATTGAAAACAAGGGCTACTTGCCCACTGTCATTGTTTCACTATTTTGTCCCTATTCCTTTTTTTGGGGGGTGTCCCTCCCCCTTTCCACATGTGTTTCGCTCCCTCTGGGACTACTAGAGAGAGCAAAACACATTGGGGGGGGGGGAATCCTGATGCAACAGTGACAAATGAGTGACAAAAATGACAGTGTGGAAGTGGCCAATGCCTTTCTGGAGGGGAGAAGTCGGGTGGACTTGCTGGCTATGAAAACTGCAGTTCCTTGCCTGGCAAATAGTAAGAAGTGGTCGGAATGGTGGAGATGGATTTGCTCCTCCACTAGCACTGACCCGTATTTCTGGCTCAGTCATTTACTCCACACCAGCTTTTGCTTCTTCCCTTGTGCTGCAAGCAAGAGTTGCCTAGTAATTCAGTTTCCTTTTTTCCCAGGACGAACGCTCAAAGCCCACAGGTTTTATAGCAATTTCGCACAACATTTGCTACAGCTGTTATGAGTCTGTGGACATGTTAGACATCCCTACTGGATTGGTGGTGTAACAGCCTCTTGGAAAAAATGTGACTTCCTAGCTTAAAGACAGCATTGTGACTGGTGTGGGGATGAGACAGTTTAATAGTGTATTCCCAATGAGAGTTATACCCTTCTAAACCCACCGATTTCAATGGACTTAGAAGGGTATAATTCTGTTTAGAAGTGCAGTGCCAGTTGGTCATTATCTCAGCCTTTACCAGTAGTTCAGTTATTATTATTATTTATTAAATTTATATTCCGCCCTCCCTGCCGTGGTGGGCTCAGGGTGGCTAACAAACATACATATGAATATATACATTAAAACGCCATAATATAGTAAAACAAATTAAGTTAAGATTACAATATAAAACCATAACTGCTCAGTACATAGTATAATAAAAGATGGCGATGTTCTGTCCACATTTGAATGGCCACCTACACCCTAGTCCAGGCTGTTAGTTGTCCAGTTGGTGGTGATGTTGATGTTAGGGCCAGGGCCATGGTGTTAAGGCGGCACCCTACTTGAAAGCCTGCCAGAAGACCTCCGTTTTACAGGCCCTGAGGGGAGGGGGGGGAGTCTCTTGCCTTTTTAAATTTGAAATAGCATGATCCAGTTCTACTTATGAAGAATTATAATGCCAAGAGGCAGGCTCAGCAGTAAGGAGGAAGGTGCTATGATTCCTGTAGCACTGGAGGAGGTAGGTGTGTTGTTCTGGCAGTGTAGGGAGGGGCAGAAGTGAGGGTGGAGGGGATAGGTAGAGAGAGCAGCAAGAGCAGGGAGGTGAGTGGAGTGCCAAGGGTGGGGGTTAGGCAGGTACAGCAGCAAAGTGGCAGTGAGAGGAAAGGGTACAGAACGGTCTGTCTTACGGTGTCAAAAACCAGAGGACTAAGCAGTGACCAGTGGGAGAATTTCCCCATGAGTTTCTCATGGGTCCCTGCTTGTTGATCACTATTCAGTAAAAAGCTTTGTTTATTGTGCTGCTTTTTAGGAGAGGCTGTCTTAAACTCAGGAGCATCTGCTTTTGTGTATAACCTCTTTTTTTGGGGGGGGGCTGTCTTACATTCAGGGTCACCTTACTTTCCAGCAAACACAGCAGATCAGACCACATGCTATTTGTGCTGCTACAATTTTTTTTAATTTTTATTATATTTATACCCCGCCCTCCCCACGAACGGGCTCAGGGCGGCTTACACAGGCACAAAGTGCATACAATATATAAAACAGTTAAAATTCCATATAGATAAACCAGTTAAAATTCAAATCTATCAGAGCACGACTAAAAGCTCCCAGCATCTTGCATAGCTGAAGGACAGGCCAGGACCACAGCTAGATGTTACCCTGCCCTCTGGCAGTATCACTATATAATGGAGTGGTAGTGGCAGTGGCGGCTCCTACTCAACAGCCTGGTGGAAGATCTCCGTCTTGCAGGCCCTGCGGAACTGTACAAGTTTTCACTTCACTGCACAAGAATTCACATCAGTGAGCTATGAATTGATGTTAGTCCTTTTATAAGGTATTCAAATATTTTTGTATCAAGTCAGAAATAATGTTATAACTTATAGAGTCATGTAGAACACATGTCTAATTCAAATTAATGTCTTCATTACTCAAGTATCAGCAGCATAGATGCACATAATTTATACAGATTCTCAATATAATTTAATCTGAAAGCAGCTCCTTCACATTTGTTCAAACTGTCTGCCATTTTGTTACATGACAGTTTTACAAAAAAGATTTAGAAATGTGATCCAATTATTTCCTTCAATTGGAAGTTTCTTCCAATAACTAATGGAGATAAATAAAACTAAGCATACACACAAAAGTATATTACTGTATTGTATCTACCAACCAATGCATAGTCTACCTCTATTTTCTTTCAAATCCTGAAGCTTCACTATTAAGAGATTTGCACAGGCAAAGGCTGGAGAATATAGTTCACTTTATACTATTGGAAGAAGCAGACAGAGAAACTCGACAGTTTTAAGTCACACACTGCTCCACAGGTGCACATGCCATGACTATTGTCAAAGCAGATTTCACTTCTTTACAGTTTAGCATGTCCTTTGCTGCCAACACCACAGGTAATATATAACGCTGCTTGTAAGAAGCATTCCCTGATCCAAGACACTCTTCACAGTGAAAGAGTAAATTTAAGCCAGTCTTTAAATACAAAAAATATTGTGCTTAACACTTGGATGTTATTCAGTGCTCAGGCAGACAATGCTCAGGTTGTGTCAAATGGATCTGGCTGGTCTCTGTAAAAAGCGTGGATAAATATTGTCTGAACTATGTATATAGGGTAGTGTAAATCCCTGGTGGAAAAGCCTACATTATTTTACATTTGAATATGTTATTGTACCCAAACCAATCACCTCTTAGAATATGTCAATCACACTCTGATATTTTCCCATGTTTATTAACCTAAGAAGCCACACTAGTGACTACCTATGTCGAATACGTTTTGCATCAGTGACAGAATGAAATCTGCTCAATTCAAGGACAAAATCTAGATTCTCACACCTTTTGATTTTGCTTCTAGTAAATAATTCAAGCTACTCACAAACCACTATGAAAACTTTTTATTAAAACTTTAAAAAACCAGTGTCACCAAGAAAAATTTGCAATTTA